GCAGACGCGCCCCCAGCCGCCTCGCCCAGCCCTGGCCCCCTCAGCCCCCTCCAATCCCGTCCAGCCCCCTCCAGGCCCCTCGAGCCCTAGTCCCCTCCAGCCCCCTCCAGGCCCATCTAGTCCCTCCAGCAGCACTGAAACGTGCCCCGCAACCTGGGCTCCTACTGTGTGCAGGCTGGAGCTGGAGGCAGGAGCCCGGAGGCCTTAGAATGCTCCTTGGGGCTGCGCGGTCAGCCACAGGACAGAAGCCTGTGATTGGACAGACTTAGGAGTTCCTACGCTGCTGGAACTCAGCAAGAGAGGGTGGGTGGGGTGCAAAGGACATTCGTTCTGTGTGTGAGACAGTCCAGGGAGCTAGGGATGAAAGGATACTTGGATGGTTGGAGATACAGGGGGACAAACCGGGACACAGTTCATCTCTCCTGGGGCAATTACACTGGAGAAACCTGCCCACATGTAGAGACTTGATTCAGAATGTTCATACACCTACACTGTCCATCCACAGGCAAGCCAGCAAATACACCGGACTGTTCATGAAATATCATGCAGCTGTGACATCAAATAATAGCTTTCAGCATCTGATCACAACAAATATCTCAGAAACAACATTGGGGGGGGCAGTAAGATGCAGAAAACTTAATACACTATGATGCGTCTTTTAAAACATAAAAACAAAACTCAAAATATTAATGTTTAGCCATATACATCAGTGGCAAAAATAATGGAAATCAAGGGAAACACAAATATGAGAACTGTTATCCTAGGGGTGGGGCAGGGTGAGCCAGGAAGACCTGGGTACATAGGATCATTAATTATTGGCAGAGTTCCAGTACTGGGTGAGATACAGGTTTCATTTCTTTTATAAATAAACAAGTCTGTAAATAAGGGAGGAAGACAGGATAGGAGAAGGCAGAGGCCAGCTGATGAGGTGGCAGCTAGATCATGTGGGGCCCATGCAACACAGTGAGGCTTGGTTCGTTCCCTGAGCCTGTTGGGAAGTAGGGTTTTAAGTGGTTTCAAGACAGCTTCAAACTTTTATTTTGGAAAAAAAAAAAAAAAGTTCTTCAGCTACTCATAGTCCAGAAAGTTATCCAGTCAGCATCACAAGCAAGCAGGTTAGAAACCTGAACTCTTGGGTCCCTCCCAGGCCTGCAGAGGGAGACCGTGTTCTAAAGATCCTTAAGCAGCTTGTGTGCACCCTGCAGATGGAGATACCTGGGCACCCTGATGTGAGGCGACAGCATGACAGGGGCCCTCAGGGAGGGTGATAGATCAGGAAGGAGCAGTTGTGGTCTGGGTGGGAGATGGTGGGGGACTGTAGGACCGGATGGCAGATTCTGATTCATTTTACATTTAAGGGGTAGAATCAGCTGGACTTGGAGTTTGTTGTAGGTGGGAAGGAGAAGTGGGGTAAAAATGATTCTTCTAAGGATATAGGGCTACATAGTGAGACTCTGCCCCCTCCCCCAAATCCTAACATGTAGAAATTTCACTGTAGCTTTGTGTGAGATTTCTTTGTTACGCAGAATAATAAATGGCAACACTAATGTGTGGGCACTCCCTTGGTACCAGCCCAGTGCCCCCAGAAGCACTTTATAAACATTCCATTTACCTTGTCTCACACTTGCACGGCAGGAACTGTTTTTTTTTTTTAATTTATTATTTTTATGTGAATCAGTGTATTGCCTGCATGCAAGTGTATCTGTGTCATGCAGTGTCCATGGAGGTCAGAAGGCATCGGATCCCCTGGAACTAGAGTTACAGATGGTTGTTAGCTGCCCTGTTGGTGTTGGGACTCAAACCCACCTGGGTCCTCTGCAAGAGCAGCCAGTGCTCTTAAACTTGGAGCCATCTCTTCAGCCCCTCTCCAAGGTCAATCCCACTGCTTCCCATTCCAGAAAGCATAAACTGCCTGGTTAACCCACTGGTCCACTAAAGGTGACAAGCTTTGTGCTATTCTTCCCTTTGTACAATGGAGTGTAGTTTTTGGCTTCTTGCCCTGGGCTGGCCTGTGTAGCTGTTAGGCCACCTGGGCTTCCTTGTGTGGAGGGATTTGGGGGTCTTGCAGCTTCTCCTGGGCCCTCTTGATTTTTCTGTTTGGGAACCCAAGCCACCAGAAGACACCAACATCACGGTGTGAGTTTAGCTAACTCAGCTGGCAACTGACCCAAGCCCCACTTTTCAGCCACCCCTGACCCCTGACATCCATTGTGTTAGTAAAGCAACTTGTGCATCAGATCAGAAACCTGATTTCAGTCAGCAGAGCAGAACTGCCCAGCAGAGCCCAGCCTACAGTCTTTACTTACAAAACTGTGCCGGGTGTTCCTGTCAGCTACCATATTTTAGGGTAGGTGACAGGAACACTCTTACCTGCCACAGCCTTTCAGGTCTGTACCTTGGTCTTACTCCATCCTAACCAGATCTGGAACAGCTTCTCCTAGAGCCCAGATTATTGAAATTCTGCTTTCTAGACAGATCCAAGCTACAGGAAAACAACTGAGCTGTGTTTGTACACCTCACCACTGGGCACATACCCCCCCACTTCTGCCAATGCTCTGTGCCGTGTGTGTCTATAACATTGTAGACTGTTTCCCTGTGGCATAGGCAGGGAATCAGATTGCAGGAGGGAGAAGCTGGGATTCTTATTTCCTCCTCCCCCTGAGACACCAGGGAGATTGTTTCTGGCAAGGTCACAGCTTCTGGTAGGCTTCCTCTCTCTACCCTCCCCCCACAGCTCCCCTCTTGCCCCTGTCTCCAAGGCAACAGCCTCAAGAACTCTACCACTTGCTGCTGCCTTCCCTGGACTCTGGGTTAGGGATTTCCTAGGTCTTGAGAGAAAGTTTGGGGTTTATTTGGAAAGAGATCTCAGGAAACACTGGGAGGGAAACGGGGGGAGGGGAGGCCGGGGGGGGGGGGAAAGGGAAGTGGGTGAATCCAAATCCAATAACAGGGAGATTACTGGCCTGAGGTCTCAGTGCAGTTTCTCTGGGAGATGATAGAAAACATGGCACAGAGTTAACCCTGAGACTCCAGGGTTGGGGGCTTAACTCTCCTTGACTATCAGGTATGTGTGTTTCTTATTTTGCAGTACCAGGGATCAAACCCCATACTTCTCAAGTGCTAGGCTAGGGCTGTACCCCCAGTTTCCCTTTTGCTATTGTTTGAAAGCTGCTTCCATTAACTTCTTTTTTTTAATTATTTATTTTTACTTTGTGTGTGTTTCACCTGCATGAATATAAGTGCACCACTGTGTGCAATGCCAGTGGGGGCCAGAAGAGGGCGTCAGACTCCCCCCACCCCTGGTACTGTAATTCTGGATGGTCGTGAGCCATCATGTGGGTGCTGGGAACTGAACCAGGGTCCTCTGCAATGCTCTTAACTCCTGAGCCATCTCTCTAGCTCTCCATTAACTTCTTGATGTGCTTAGTTAGTTCAACATAACTGGCTAAGCTTGTTTGCGGCTGAATTAGTACCAGCAGCAGAGAGGGGACACTGAGGTGTCAGTGGGAAACCTTGTAGAGTGGTGCTGAGATCACCTGGTCAGCACACAGACAGCAACACCTGCCCACATGTTTATAGATAGTCCCTTTGCTAAGCTTTCCTCCCTTACTCTCTTTGAGTGTGTCACCTGGCCCCTGCCTGGTATCTGAGTGATACAGGCTGGCCTTGAGCTCTACATGACACACAGCAGGCCAGTGTATACCAAGAGTTGGAGGAGGGATAGAGAGAAAGATGCCCTCCCTCAAATGCATTCTGCACACAGCACGCAGTTTGTGACTGAAGCCACTGAAGTGGGCTCTCAAGTATGCAGGGACTCTGACTCTCATAGCCTCCTTGAAACCTAGCTCAAGGCCTAATTCAAGTGGGGCATGTATTCCCAGTACTTGGAAGGTGGAGGCAGGATTGCTGCTAGCTTGCGCTACAGGGTGAGACCTTGCCTCAAATAAGTATGAATCTGATTCAGCTAACGAATTGTATAATGAAAAAAAAAAATGCTCAGGAGTAATCTCTTCATTTAAACCAAAAATTAGGCTTTGACAAGCATCAGTAACTCGATAGCTAAACATCAAATGTAACAAAGTTTGAAGAGAAAAAGCTTTTTAAAAACTTAAAAAAAAAAAAATCAGGTTTTCAAGGGTAACTCTAGTAGCACATAGTACATTACAAGTATCTGGCCCAGAAGTGGCCTCACAGTTCTTGTTCCTGCAACAGCTCTGGTGCGAGTCCTTCTGGGACTCAAGCTGAATTTATAGCACGCAGGATTCAAGGTAGCCAGCTATGCCAGTGCACGTGGCCACACTGAGTTGCAGGGGTCCTGGGAAATGTAGTTCAGTAGCATCTAGCAGTCTTCTGGAGTGGAAATGTATCTTCTCCAGGAAGCCTTTTTGCTTCCCTTCCCAGGAAACTTGTTACCATCTTTTGATATCAAAAAATTCCTGTGAGGGTCTGAAGAGATGGCTCAGTAGTTAAGAGCGTGCACTGCTCTCTCAGAGGACCCGAGTTCAGTTCCCAGCACCCATGTTAGGCCACTCACAACTGCCTTATAACTCCAGTTCCAGGGCATCAGACAACCTCTTCTGGCCTCTGAGGACACTGCAGTTACATGCACAAATCAACACACAGACATATACATACACATGTAATTTTAAATCTTTTTAATGGGGCTGGAGAGATGGCTCGGTGGTTAAGAGCACTTACTGCTCTTATAGAGGACCCAGGTTCGATTCCCAGCACCCACATGGCGGCTACGAACCGTCCTCAACTCCAGTTCCAGGGGAATCTGAAGCCCTCTTCTGACCTCTGTGGCATTACACGACACGGGTGCACTCACATACATGCAGACAATATACTCAT